TTTGAACAGCCAACAATAAAAAATTAAAAAAAAAATAAATAAAAATATTGACCTTTTTCACAAATACTAAAATGTAGTTTTGGGCTGAGTTTAAAATGCTTTCTTTTAGAACTTTTTAGACTTGGCATTATCTTTAGACATTGAATAATAATATAGAGAAATAGAAGTAAACATAATAGTTGTTATTTTATGCAACTTTGTTTTTTTCTAAATTAATACACAATGAAGGTCATTCTTTCTGCTCACAAAATTTGGTGATGTTATCAGAATATTTCTGTGGTTAATGCTCCAGTATCAAATTTCTATGAGCACCACATATCCTTTTGATCTCAGAAACAAAAAGAAATCTCAAATTTCTATGAGCATTATGTATATTTTGATCTCAGAATCAGTAATTATTTATAAAATTTTTCTTCTAATGTATCTTTGGAGATTTTTTTCAAATTTATTTGTTCTGTCTTCCTAAAAAATATTGTATTTGTTGATTTTGCTTTTTCTTTTTTCATGTCTCTGTATTTTCCCATGACTCCTTCCCCACCCCCTGGTGTGGTTTCTTTATTTATTGCATTTATTATAATTCTGATTATGAATTTCTAGTTGTGATTATTCTGTTTTCTACTTTTAAATATTTTTTTATATCGCCAATATTTTATTTCTACTCAACTTCTTTCCTAAATTCTTCCAGCATGTTTTTTTTATCTCTTTTAACAAAGTTTTTCTCTTTGTTAAATAAAGTATTTCTTTCATATTTCATATCTTTTCAAAATTTTTTTTCCTGAGATTCTGATTACATATTCAGACCTATCCTTTGTCTTTGCTTCATGTTTTCATTTTCTCTTTTCTATAAGTAGTTACCTTGATGATTAGGAATATGCATTTTTTAAGTGAACTTAAATATTTACTAAAAAAATTACATGGGAATTGCAGGAGATAGGAATGGTTTTAGGCATATCATTTTAATACACGTCCCCAGTTAAAGCAAAATCTCAGAAATCACAGGTTCTCTTGCAACCTGACACTTGTCTCCTTTTCATACTTCAGGTTGCTTCATCTCTAAGTCTTCTTTGGTCAGGAATCTAGGTTGTGATACAAATGGCTAGGTTGTGACACTGCCAATTCAGTCATACTGTATCATGTAAAACTCCATGGGTACATTCCTTGCTTCTCTGGTGGCTCAACCTTCCCTGTAGAACGTAGAAGCTCTTGCCTCTTGAAGTTTTTATCAAGATTATCACACAGGATTCCCAGGATTCCAGTGGTTAGGCAAACATTTAAAATTGATTGAACTCTGAGAAAAAAAAATGTGTTGCCTTCTAGTATCCTCATTGATTATTATCCAGATTTCACAGTATTTGACAGATTTGTATCTTATTTTGTAGTTAACGATTGTGAACATGTTTTTTTTAGATTGAAGTTGATTTTTTTCCCTTTATAGGTTGTATTTGATTTATTTTAATATAAAGGAGTAGAGTACAGAAATATTTAATATACTATCTACATATGATATCCAAATGTATACTTAGGTAATTCTGGCAGCTGTATGATAAATAGTTTATAATGCAGATAACAAAAATCGTTGTCAGATAATTGGAGTTCTCAGAACAGTCTAGGGAAGGGACAGTAAGGTGTAAACTAGGCATCATTAATAAATTGAAAAAGGGTGTGGTTATAGATATTTTTGATTAATAATTGATAAGGCTTGGGAAATGATTTGACAAGTAGATGAAAGAAGAGAGAGTAAAATGTTTCTAATTATAGTGTGTTGAAGAATATTACTATTCTAACTGAAGGATAACATTGGAGGAAGGGGAGATTTGGCTATGAAGTTAATGCATTTGCATTAATGAATTGTTGACTTTGAAGGTGTTTTATAATAATTTGTAAAATGGCTTAAGAGCTTAAAATTGGTAATATACTGCTTGGACATGGTTATTGAAAAGTTAGAGTGAGAACATGTGGTATAGGCAAGGAGTGAGATTGAGAAACTTGACATGGGTATACCGGATGGATGCATGATGATTCAATGGGACATTAGATTAGCTTGATAATAGATGAATATTTCTTATCTGCTAAGGAATTCAACAGCAAAAAGCCATGGATTATTGGGGTATAATGTTGATACAACATTTGGAGCAACAAAATATTGCCTGGACTTTTGTGGATATAAGCTATATTACTCAGTAAACATAACATATCTAGATTATTCAATAAATAGAATATGCCTACAGTATAGTGGAAGAATAATTACCAAAAATTGTCTGTGTGTGTGTATGTATGTGTAAAATAATTTGAAGGTTTAAAGGCTAAAAAGTCATGTAAGTAGTTATCACATGAAAAATCAGAAACATTTTTAATTTTTCACTTTTTTTTTTACAGTTCAATATAGTTTCTATTTTGAGTTGTAGGTCAGAACCCTCTTTGAAGAAATAAAGAATCTAAATGGAGGTTTTACTCAGGGATTCAGAACAGAGTTTGAATAGCTAAACAGATCTATCAAAATTTAATGGTATGAATTTGTCACCAAAACAGATAGTAAAATAGATAGGTCAGGGAAAGGTGAGTTGACCCATTCATTGTTAAATTGTGCTTTACACTGATGGATATTCTATTAGAAGCAAGACTTTATGTGTTCTCTATTTAAGCTTAACCTGGGGGTAAGTTTGTATTTAAGGGCTGTGGATTTCACAAATGATGAAAAAAAATAAAAGGGACCCAAGAGCTAATCAATATATAATAACTGTGATAACCAACATTTGGGTCTTTAACAGGAAGTGTTATAGAAAACTGTTGAGACAAGTTCTAATAGAACTATTTACTGATCTATGTTATTAATTTCCATTTGTTATATTTTTAAAGTTGCAAATGTAGCCACAGGGGGAAAAAGAAGCATTTGAAGAGCTTGACTTATAATAGATGGTGTTGTGGGAGGGCAAATATGCTTTAAAAACAGAACCAGATGGCACCAAAATTTTTGGTTGCTCTGATGAGTCCTGGCCTCCAGGATTTGTGGTTTTTTAAGTGGCAGGGTCCAGCATCCTTAGTTGCCCATGCCATTTTGAATCATGGAGGCTGGCCAGGAGGAACTGGATTCTTAAACTCTTGGTGAGGTCTTGTTCTGCCACACTCAAGCAGGTTCATTTAGTGTTCAAGGTTGAGTAAGACTCAGAGTCCTCACAGGAAGTTGCAAGAATGATTAAAAACTTAGTCTTGTATATGATTGAGTACAATGTAATACATTAGAAAAAGGAAAAAAAAACACTACACAAATAGAAGACTCATATGACTGCCAATTCATCTCAATAAAGGAAAATCATCTCAGTGTCCTAACCTAAGAGATGACAGGTTGTGAATGAGCTAAGTCCTAACTCAGCATTGCCATTTATAGGAGATGGAGCCTATGTGTGAATTGTCTTAAAATATATTTTCTCTTACTCCAGAATGCTTGTCTTTAATATCAAAAGGAATTTTACAGATAAAAATCTCTCCATTTGCTTCTAAAGGCTTAGCTTTTCAAAACAGTCTGTTTTTGAGAATCATACAAGCTCAGTGTAGATAAGTAATATAGACAAAGAAAAAACATTTTCAATAAAAATTACCTTTAGAAATGTTTGTTTCAAATGTGTCTGAAAAAAAAGAACTATAACTTCCCTCTCCCAAGATCTTATGCTGTTTTCAGATTACAGAGTAGTTTTTACCTTTTTTTTTGTTTATGTATGAATAGAATTAAATTACGTTTTGAAGTAAACATTGGGACAGAGGAAATCAACTGAAAATTTTATATATAATCAGAGTGGTATAGTTGTTTGGGAGAAAAGAAAGTGAAAATTTTGTCAGTTTACTAATTGATGGATGCAGGATTTTGTATTTAGAACTATAATCTTCTGGATTTCACAAATTATTCTTCCCTTAAAGATTTTATTTTCAGCACAAAGCTTAGAAAAGCCAACTATACTACAATATCTTGTTGCAATTATAAGTTCAGGTGTGGACAATAGGTATAGTAACTTTTGAAATACCATCTAAAATAGAATTAGTTTCTTGCAACTTTTTGTAATATTCCCAAGAACTATGTTGTCCCTGGTTTTTTTTTTTGTTTGTTTGTTTGTTTTAGCTTTTACAACAAGTGGCCCTTATAGATAAAATTGTAATGATCTTAATAGTAGTTGGTCTAAAAGTAGAATTGGCAGTGTTGCTTGATTCAATCACTTAAACACTAGGCTTTGAAAGTCTTATGTGACAATAAACTATATTGATAATTTTATAGTAATCCTTGAAAACAGAATATTTTTGAGAAAGACAAAAATCTGCAAACAATTACTTGTGATATTGTTACATTACATGAGGAAGCAATAGGAAATTATGGCATGTATCTAACAACACACACATTGATCAACTATTTACAGATCTTCAAAACAGTGATTGCTGGAGATTGAACTAAGGTTTGGCAGTGCCTGGAAATAAAAGAAGGAAACTTTCCCCACTTCTACTGCCACTGAGAGTCTGGTGGAGCCGGGATTTGCTTCTGTGTTCCTGGGCTTCTGTTTACCACTTCATAAATGATATCTACTTTCTGAGAGATTTGGTCACAGGAATATTGTAGATTAAGATTGGTGAGGGATTTAGAAATCACAAGAAAGATGAGAACACCAAAGAACCTACACCTTCTGTTTTCTATTGCTCTTTCAGGGTATATGGGTCAGTACATATGTCTTTACAATATGCTTTGCTGCCAATGTGGGACTGCTGTTTGGTGTTGTCTGTACCATAGCTATAGTGATAGGACGCTTCCCAAGGTAAGATCTTATGTAAATACTGTTTCTTCTTAATCAGCTGCAAAGTATGTGGTGTTGTTACAGAAAACTGTTGAGACAGATTCTAATAGAACTATTTACTGATCTATGTAATTAATTCCCATTTGTTTATTTCTGTATATCATTTACTACTAGAGTCTCATGTTTTACCTGTTAAAAGTGAATTAAAGATAAAGAGATAAGAATATTTTGTTGATACATTTTATATGTATAATATATAATATTAGTGAAGAAGAATATCAAAATTTTAAGCTAGTATGTAGTCAGCTTTCTATTGCTATAACAAATACTTGGGATCAAATGAACTTAAAGGGAAAAAAAGGTTTATTTTGGCTCATGGTTTCAAAGGGTTCAGTCCACGGTTGCATGGTTGCATGGCTTTGGACCTGTGTTAAGGCAGGATATCATGGTGGAGAGACTGTGGTGGAGCAAACTGCACATTTCATGATTATCAGAAAGGAAAGAGAGAGAGAGAGAGGAAATGAATGAAGTCCAATGCTCCTCCTCCACTTTTTTGGTACTAGAGATTGAACTCAGTGGTGCTTAACCAGTGAGACACTTCCCTAACCCATACACACACACACACACACATATATATATATATATATATATATATATATATATATATATATAGAGAGAGAGAGAGAGAGAGAGAGAGAGAGAGAGAGAGAGAGAGAGAGAGAGAAAGGCCCTTGCTGAGTGGTTCAGAACCTTGCTAAGTTGCTGAGGCTGGCTTTGAACTCATGATCCTCCTGCCTCAGCCTCCCAAGCTGCTGGGATTCCAGGTATGCACCCCCACACTTGGCCCAATATCTGCTCTGAGGACATGCTACCAATGGTCTAATTTCACCCCACTCTTAAAGTTTCTACCACCTCCCATAGTGACACAGGATATTAACCAAGCCTTGGGAGCACATTTCAGATCCAAACTGTAGAAATATATAAAATATATTAAAATAAATAAATACCTTAGCCATGTACTCTCTCAGAGATTTTTTTTAAATTATGTGAAGGGATATAGTATCCAGTGAGACACAACCATGTAGCAGCAGTAATCACTTGGAAAATTAAGTAACTATAAATTTCTGGATAATTTATTGAGGAACACACTTCCTTTTTGTATATCTACTGAACATCTATAAATTATTTCCCCTATTTTGATCAATTCCCTTTTCTGATTTCTCAGTAGCCATCTGAAAATGCTTCTCTTCACTTCTCATCCTTCTTTTGAAATGTGTATTATATTCCTAAAAATGTGTTTAGAGACTCTCGATAGACTCCATCTTTATAGAATCTGTATCTACAGTTCATTATTATCTGACTTGTCTTGCCACTGATTCCCCCTTTCCTTTATTTCCTCCACAAACAAGATTTTATCAAATACTGCATGCTTTCTCATCTTTTCTCTTTTATAATTCTTTACCAATCCACCTCTTACAGCTTGGAGATATGGGGCTCTGGGAACCCAAATGAGGTAAATTTCATTTATTAATCTCTAGTTAGATGTCTATATTGTTACTCTATTTTCAAATATCCCAGAGATACATAGATTTACCAATGTCTTGTGAAGAAAATGGGTTATAGGATCTAAACCATTTCAGACACTTTCTAATTATAAAGATAAATGACATCCCTTTCATTTCTTCATCGTTAATGTAGTGATCAGGAAATGACTTGTTATATTTTCTATCTGCCTTAACTTTAGAGCAAAGACTTTAAGTATAAAAAACATGAAAGAAATGGAATTTAAAGTGAAGACAGAAACAGATGATGTAAGTTTAGTTTCCTTTTTCCTTTGTGAAATTATTACATTTGTGGATTCAATAGTTTTGATATAGCAAATAAGGTGATACATTTTGAAAACTGAAACGTGATAATTCTACTTCTATTTATTGTGAACTTCCAATGGTACATATGTTGACCACCACTCATGTGGCAGTGGATATGCAATGAATCAATAGAACAAAAGAGAATCTCTTTGGGTTAGCATTCAGATAAAATAATACCATGGTTCATATACCTACAAGGCATAGTCAAATCATGGCCAAGATTAGTCAGACATTTAGAAACCTCTTTTCCATAAAGTAATCAAACAAAACTGTTAGTCTTCTGGATTAAATGGTAGAGGAAGAAAGGGAATAGAGAAAAGAATAAATCAAGATTGGTTCATGGTGTTGCTTTTTAAAAAACTCAGTCAATGAGGTTGCATAGTTAATAGAGGGTAATTAAGTTCAGTGGTTCTGGAAAGCTAAGAGGATTACAGTTTTGCACAGTAGACACCTTCTTAAAGAAACAAACTACATAAATTGTCTTGCTTTGCCTATGCTTAGGAGAGTCAATTGATAGTGTTTGAGTTCTAGTATTTTGCTTTAAGAGATGACAAAACAATTTAAAGTAAGGGGAAAAATGTTGACTTGCATTATTTTTGCCAATTTAAAAAAAATTGCCCTCATTTTGAATCTGTGTTCTCTTTTATTTCTTATATTCACTTGTTTCATTCAGTATCTCATGATTTCCTTCAAAATAGAGAGAACAGACCTCCCACCAGAAGGACCCATGTTAGAGTATTTCCAAGTAGCAACATCAGGAGTACTCCTGCAACACTCAGAGAAATGGCTTGTGCTTTTAATAAGCATAGAAAGACTCGCCTCACAGAGAGCTGAGTTCAGAGCCTTTGAGGGTTTCCAGACTTAACTTTTCCACTCTTTTTTTCTTTCCTTGAATTCGTTATGACAATTCAGTGTTTGTACAAAATTCCAGTCTGATTCTCTGGCCCCTGAAGTCCTCAGTGTATCAACCCTACATGTATAATCGCATCGATATCCTTAGCTTTAAGACAGAATTCAACTTTGGAATAACTATTTTTTTCAACTTAAAAGTCATTAGCTAATAAACTGGCTAATCTTTACCTTCTTTAAGGGCTAACCACATGTAGAAGAATATGAGGTTATTTTAAAAAAAATGAAAATGCAGGAAATTTCTTCTATCCTTAAACCTTGGTTGATTTGAGTTTCATCAACCCACTGAAAACCTAATATCATATGATACTTTTCAGATGGTTCTTATAGTTAGCCTTCAGGTAATCCCTCACTTATCTTTTCATTCATACCACATGGAAATTTTAATTTTACTTAAATATTATACCACACTGGTTTCTTAACATTTTATGTCCAAACTAAGAGGGGAAGAAACTAAGTCTGAGCAAAATTTGAATATGAGTTGGTGGATGGAATAGCTAACACAAAATGAAATGATCTGTTATTCCTGTTACATTCATGTACTTTCCACACTTTATTCACTCAAAGCACCTATTCCTAATTTGGGAGATTTCTTTTGACTCAGCGAATTCAACTTCATTCACAATTTCTTTCCTGGGACAATGAATATCTCCATTTTTTAGCAAACACATATTTCTTCATCTTATCTTAAAATAATAGACTGACACAATCTCACGTGAATTGTGGTGACTAGCTAGGACAAATCTAAGAAATTCATGTTTTATTTTTGGATTCTAAGAAGTTGACTCTTGATTAAAACTTTGGCAGTTTAAATTTTCTTGACTTATTTGTTGACAATCTCCTCATTAGCTAGAGTTAAATCAATAGTTTTTAGAAACTTTTGAGGTTATCTAGTTTAAACATGGATCTAATTTTAAAAGTGAGGAAATGTAAAGAGGTTAAATGAATTGTCCAAATGAATGTACCTAATCTTTTCTCTTTCATCTCTCTTCCTCCTGCATGCATGACCAATTTCTGCATCTTCTCTTCCATGTGAATTCTAAAGCCTGAAGTTAGTTGGTAAGGAGTTATCATGTCATAGAATTGACCATCCTGTGCATTTTTCCCAGAGTCACAGAGAGGACAGTTTCAGTTGCTCATCATTGAATGTGGCCAATTATACCTGGGCAGCTGGCCCAAACAGACACCTTTTTGTGTCAAAACGTTTCCTTCTTCAGTTCTGCATGTTTCAATGCATTGAAATGCTGCCCAAAGTAAATCTATATTCTGGACACTAACTGTCTGTCTCTTCCTTCCAATTAGGACTATCACTTATAAAGTCACACTTCAGCTAAAGAAAGTTCATGATATTTTTGAGATAAAGGACTGACAGTGACCATTTAGAAGATATTTTCATTTTTGAAAAATATGGATGGTTAAGTACATTAATTTTAATGACAGATTGAATGGAAGAGGTAATTTGGGAAGATAGGTCTTCATGGCATTCTTTGTATATTCTAGTTTTTTTGGGTCCCCAAAGCCCAGTCAGTAGGAATAAGGGCCACTTTCTGAAAAGCTGCAGACTTGTCTCATGTTATTAATGTTTCATAATAGAGAGGAAGTACATATTCTCCATAAAAAGTGTGATAGTGCATTAAATCTTCTAAACAAATTTTAATAATTAAAGTGATAGTTAAGGGATTGCTTCTACAATTGAGTGACATTTGGAGTTAAAAGATTTAGATTCATTGGGTATAGTTATTCCATTTTATTTAATTCAGAGTTCTAAACCTACTTTTTTTTTCTTCTTTAAAAGGAAAGCCTGCAGCAGGTGAAAATTATCTCAATAAACAATCCACTTGTTTTTCTGAATGTGAAGAAATTTCATATGGATCTAATAAACATAATGCAAAAGGAAAATGCCAACAACCAGCCACTTGATGATATCAGTAAGGTAGGTAGGAACAGTGACTTTATGATTTGAATGTCATACTACAGGTAACTATACCTCATGACACTAGAATACATCTCATATAAAAATAATACATTATAAAAGTGTCTGCAATCCTCTCCCCTCAGCAAAACCTAATATCATATGATACTTTCAGATGGTTCTTATTGTTAGCCTTCAGGTAATCCCTCACTTGTCTTTTCATATATTTACTGAGTGCATGTCTAATGAATATATGTATCAGATACTATAACCTCAAGAAGAATAAATAAGACAAGTCACTTAGTTCAAAGGAAGTTTTTTTTTGTTTTGTTTTGTTTTGTTTTTGTGGTGCTTGGGATTGAACCCAAGGCCTTGTGCATGGGAGGCAAGACACTCTACCAACTGAGCAATTTCCCCAGCCCTCAAAGAACTTTTTTTTTTACTGAGTTTCTAACAAAAATACAATTTGTTAGCTCTAACTCTTAAAGAAAGAATACAATAAATGGATTCAGAGAAGCACAAATTACTACCACTACTATGATAACATTATTATAAAATTCAGTCTTCTTTATTTCCATAAGTAATGTTCATTATTAGAGTTATTGAATCAAATGTGCATTGGTAAAAGTTAATGCAAAGGAGCTATTTGTCATCATTTGAGTCCTGCAGGCCCCTGTAATATGAAGAGCCTGGACTTTGGAGCCAAACTCCCTGGGTTTACTACTAACTAGCTGTTGAACTTTAACTGAGTTACTGAACCTTTGTACTTCAATTTCCTCATCTATAAGCGAGATGATTAAATATGCAAAGCACTTAAATAGTGCTTATCCTACTCAAAAACCCTACACTCTTAGCTACTATTATCAGGTCAGTTGATTGCACTTTTCATGAAGCTTCTCTTTTAAAAAATGTAGTTTTTAGTTGTAGTTGGACACAATACCTTAATTTACTTATTTATTTATTTTTATGTGGTTCTGAGGATTGAACCCTAACCCTCGCACGTGCTAGGTGAGTGCTCTACTGCTGAGCCACAACCCCAGTCCTCATGAAGCTTCTCTTGACTACTCCAGACCACAATGATATCTTCTTTCTCTTATGTCCTTGATTATGTGTTGTCTCTCAGTCATCCAGGTACTCCACACCACACCCAAGTTCCCTTATTATTAACATCTTGCATTACTGTGGCATATTTGTCATTATTGAAAAACAAATATTGATACAATTGGTTGATATAATTGACATAATAAACAAAAGTCCATGTTTTATTTACATCATCTTAGTTTACCTAATTTCCCTTTTTTATTACAGAATTCCATCCAAGGTAACACATTATATTTAGTTGTCATGCTTCCTTAGGCTCATCTTGTCTATTGCTTTTTTTAAAGACCTTGAAAGTTTTGAGTAGTATTGGCTAAATAGTTTATAGAATGCTCTTCTATTAGAATTTGTCCAGTGTTTTTCTCATAATAAGACTGGGGTTATGAGTTTGGAGGAGGAAATCTATAGCAGTAAAGGGTGATTATTTTATTGCAACCAATCAAAAGTACACAATATCAACATTATTTGTTACTGATGTTGACCTTGATCACCGAATGAGGTAATGTTTGCCTGAATTTTCCTATGTAAAGTCACTGTATTGTCAGCCTTTCTGTGCTGTATCTATGGAAGGAAGTCACTGTGTATAGATGACAGATAAGGATTGTGGTTTGGAATCTACCTCCTTAAAGGTGGAGTATCTATGTAAATTATTTGAAATTATGCACAAAAATTTCAAGTAGGCAGTTTTAAGAGGAGGGAAAGGAAGTTCACACTTGTTGAATGTGTCTTGGGGCCAATTCCTTTAATTGGGTTAACTATCATCACCAGCCACACCATGTAGATGACATTACTCGGATGCTACATAAAAGGAAGGTTGAGACTATGTTTCAGTCAGCTCTGTGTTGCTGTGACCAAAACACCTGACAAGAAAAACTTAAAAAAGGGAAAGTTAATTTGGGGCTCATGATTTCAGAGGTTCAGTTCATAGATGGCTGACTCCATTTCTTTGGGCCCAAGGTGAGGCAGCATATCATGGAGGATGGACATGGTGGAGGAAAGCTCCTCCCTCAGACAGCAAGGAGGCAGGGATGTAGGAAGGGACTGTAATAATGTCCCCAGTGACCTACCTCTTCCAGCCACACTCCACCTACATACAATTATTACCCAGTCAGTCCATTCAATCTAGCATGGATTGATTAGGTAACAATTCTCATAATCCAATTCTTTCACCTGTGACTATTCTTGTATTAACACATAAGCTTTTGTGAAGACACCTCATATCTAAACCATAACAGACTGAGAAATGTGAAATAAGCTGATAGAAACTGTACTGCCGATATTTTACTCAGCAATGAAAGAGAATAAAATCATGGCATTTGCAGGTAAATGGATGGCTTTGGAGAAGATAATGCTAAGTGAAGTTAGCCAATCCACCAAAACAAATGCCAGATGTTTTCTCTGATATAAAGAGGCTGACTCATAATGGGGTAGGGAGGGGGAACATGGGAGGAATAGATGAGTTCTAGATAGGGCAGTGATGGGAGGGAAAGGGAAGGGGCAGGGGATTAGCAAGGATGGTGGGATGTGATGGACATCATTATCCAAAGTACATGTATGAAGACAAGAATTGGGTGTCAACATACTTTATATACAAACAGAGATATGAAAAATTGTAGTATATATGTGTAATAAGAATTGTAATGCATTCTGCTGTCATGTATTTTAAAAAAATAACTTAAAAAGAAGAAACTGTACTGCTGATAACTACAAAGTAATACTCAAAATATATAAGCTGTATCATTGGGTATTCAGAAGGGAAAATAAAATTTCTCTAGTCTACCTTAAAAGTAAAAAATAATTTCACAACAGCAGCAGCATAAAGCAATGTTTGGAAGCCTCATTTGGAACTGGAAAGACATAGGCTTTGAGTCTAGCCCAGCTCTTAACACCTCTGTGAATTTAATCAAGTGTCATAACTTCCCTTATCTTTGACTCTCTCATATGGAAAATGAGATTGAGGGTGAAATGATCAACATCAGGTCCTCAGTGTGCAGTAAGTACTGAAAAAATACCAGTTGCTATCATCCTCATTAATGAGAATAACAATAATACAATGTTCAAGAAGTAGATACCATGTGGTCTCATTAGGGGCATCAGATATTGTCAGAGAAGCTTCACTGAAGGATAGAGAGCCATTCTCCTTCTTCTTCTCTGGCATCTCCATAAATTAGGAATGTTTCTCAGGCATTTTCATGGATTTAACTTTTGTGTAACACAAAATGTCTGACACGTGGCTCTCTCTCTGAGAATGCCGTGTTAATGAGGTTAATTTCTGTTGTGTATGCTACATGATAAACTCAAACAAATGTTTAATTTCTGACCCAAAATGGAAACAAACTAAGTTTTACAGCAAACATTCTAAAGAAGACAGTCTGACTTGATAACATCAATAATCCATGAACTAATATACCCTTAGAAGTCTTTTTCATCTTATAATTTCAAAGTTTATTGTATGCAGAATTCTGAAAACAAATCCTGTGAAGAATATTTTCTGGAGACTTTCTTTCACTGTAGATAAGAAATTATGTGTTATTTTTTCCCCCATGGACAGTGTCATTTTTTAATAACAATATTCTTCTTTGCATTTGTTTTCATTTCAGTGTGAACAAAACACGCTGCTGAATTCTCTATCCAATGGCAACTGCAATGGTGAGTGAGCTTTAGGTAAAAAGGAACTAAGTGTTTTGATTTTAATTTTTTTATCTATTTTGGTTTTTTAAAAAATATTTTATTCTAATTTGTTATATATGACAGCAGAATGCATTAAATTTCATATTACATATGTAAAGTACAATTTTTCATATTTCTGCTTGTATACAGAGTATATTCACACCATTCGTTTCTTCACACCATTCATGTACATTCACTATGGATGTGTGAAAGATGAGAGTGTTTTTGGTATCCTGATCCAAAAGAAAATATAGTCAAATTCTTAGTAACCTATAATTTTACAAAAACTGATTCAGAAAGTTAAAGAAATTCCTATAAATTTTTCTGTAACTATTAAATAAATTAAATCATTACTTCAAAATCTTCACACAAAGAAAATTCCTTACCTCAGGGTCTTTACCAGTGAATTCTACTAATGGGGAAATATAGTGCAAGATTTTTCATAATAGCACTCTTTATTATCCTATAAAAAACTGGAAACAAGCAAAATATTTGTTAGTAGTACAATGGATAGAAAAAATACAGAATGCTTATATAATTGATTAAATATGTATTAAGTAATTATTATATTAAAGTATATATATATATATTAAATATAGAATAGAATAGAACAGAAAAGAAATATGTGAATCAATTGCATCGATTCATGTCAACATGGATACAGTTTAAGTATTAGCTTCTCTGGTCTTTCCTAAATTCTCATGGCAAATTTGCAGTTTCCTGCCAGTGTTCTCAAAGAACTCTTCTAAAATATTGACATAGTGCTTACTTAATGATGGCTTTTTCAATGGTTTACTTTGCTGTTAAAGTGAAAACTTTTCAGGGAGTTCTCACCTCTGCCTCCCAGCACCTATTCCACTTTGCACAGAACAGTAGCTGATGAGAAAGTCACTTTGCTGTATCCTGTTGAAACGTTGACACCCAGTGGCCCTTTACAGTGGTCAGAAGTAGTTGATGAGAATATTCCTCTGTCATCTTCATCCTCTCCTGTCTTTTGACACTCCAAAAACATCCTTAGTCCTCTTCTTTCTTATTCAGTCACACATCCTCCCCTTAATGTTTTACTTTAAATGCCAAGGCTAGGCTTATTGCTCTTGTTCTTGATTTTCCCCTCTCAATTTAATCTAGTAAGTCCCAAGTTTTCAATTCTGTAAATATTTCAACAGAATTGATGCAACCTATTAAAATAAGTTGAAAATCATAATTTAGAGCTTATCTATGCTTCATGTATTTTCATATGTATGTATATATACAAATATATACACATTTAAGTAATCATTTACCTATTGCTTTTCTCAAAAGAATAGAGCTCTAAAAACATAATAATTATCTCAAAGTTGCCACAAGTGGCGTATTTATTTGCCAGTGTAAATTTTTATAGGCTGTCAACATCTGGGACAAAGGGACAATACGCATTTAGTCACTAAAACCTGTAACTTTTGGTTTCATTACATCTACATTTTCACTTTTGTGACTCTGATTCTGTCCTTAATTAAGTTCAGAAAGAATTAGTATAAATTTCATATTATTTTTTTTCTGCTGTGAAACAAATGATGATTCTAAAGCTTTGAAGCATTCTAGCTGGGAGTAATAAGGATCCCAGGAGGGTGGCTACAGAGAAGTTGAGTTTGATTTGGAGCATGGTAAATTGAAGTTCATGGGAAGTCATGTCGGAGACATTCAGTGGGTTTTGGAGAATACAGAAAGGATCCGAAGCTGGGGGAGGCATGAACTGAATACAGCAATGAGCAAAGTAGAAGAGAATTAATCTTCTCAGGAGAAGATTCATAGTTGAACAGATGATAGAATAATCAAAAGATATGAAACAAGCCACATATATCATAAGATAGAAATTGTGGTAATTCTTTGAATGAAAATAACAATTGCTCATCTATGGAGAAATCTTCTATTACTATGTTTAGTGGTTTGGGTCCCCACAACATTTTAGTCATCTTATGCTGATCTAAGAGGCACCCTGTTGAGGTCTCCATTAGTATTATGATTTGCCACTTTAGCCTCCAGCTCCTGTTTATCTACTAAACCCCAGTCCTCCTCCAGGTCTCAGCTCACACATCCCATTCCTTCATTCCTGCCATTGTTCACTCAGCAAATATTTCTCACATTTATTGAACATGCAGTAAATCTTGGGTGCAGTCATAGACCCTGCCTTTTCAAGGATGAAAAAAGAAGACATGTTTTTTTCCGTGTGGACCCTGAAGTCTAAACAAGGTCCTCCTCTCCTCCCACCCTCTTCTATTCCCTATGTTAGTTAGCTTTTTAGCACTGTGTCCAAAAACCTGACAAGAAAAAAACCCCAAACTTATTTTGGCTCATGGTTTCAGAGATTCCATCCATGGCTGGCCAATTCCACAGCTTTGGGACCAAGGTGAGGCAGAACATCATGGCGGGAGGGCATGGCAGAGGAAAGTTGCTGGATTTGTGTCAGCTAGGAAGCAGATAGAGCTTGAGTATAAGGAACTAGGGATAATATAATCCCCAGGAGCACACCCCAGTGACCTACTTCCTTCAGTCATGTCCTACCTGCCTATAATTACCACCCATTAATCCACTCGAATGGATTAATAGGCTGATCAAAATCATTTCACCTCTAAACAATCTTGAGTCTTCTCACACATGAGCTTTGGGGAGAAATCTTACAACCCAGTCCATAACACCACCCAAATCAACAGTTCTTGTGTATAAATTTCCTGCTGCTGTTGTAGCAAATAGTTGAGTTTAGTGGCTTAAAATAGCATAATTTATTATTTTACAGTTTGGGGCCACAGAAATCTGAAATGAATCTTAAGGACATAAAATCAAGGCTTTGGCATGGCTATATTCCTTTGAGAGGCCCTAGAGTAGACTCCATTTTATTGTTCTTTTCAACTTCTTCTGGGCATCTGCCCCACCCTGCATTTTCAAGCCAACAGTGTGGAATCTTCAAATCTCTCTGACCTCTTCTTTTGTCACAGCATATGCTCTGACTATACCTCTTGCCTCCTTATGATTGCATTAGATCCACCTGGGCAATACAGGATTATCTGAAATCCCAACATCCTTAATTTAATCAAACCTGCAAAGCTACTTTTGCCTTACAAGGTAACCTATTCACAGGTCCTGAAGATTAGTTGTGAAGATGGAGGGGGTGGGGTGGGTTGTTCTGTCAACCATATAAGGTCTCCTGGGCTTCCTTAGCACTTTCTTTAATCTTTTTCAGCTTTCAAAACACTTAGAATTACCAGTTCAACTGACTGGTTTCCCTGTTTGTGAGTCCACTGAAGGTAGAGACCATCATCTCTCTTGTTCACTGTTGAACTCACGTTTCCTAAGATGGTACTTAGAGTAAGAACTCCAGAGCATCTATACTAAGTGACTACTTGAATGAACACATGAATGAATGAATGAATGAAATGCTCAATAACATGTGCATGTTTTCCAAAGGTAGTGTTGTTGTTTGTCCTAAATGTTTCTTGTCCCCTTATTTCTTGAGAAAATTAGAGATTTTCAAGAAATCTGCTTCTCAATAGTTAATTGATATCAACAGAAAATACTTAACTTTTAAAAAATTATGAGAGACTCACAGACTGTCAAGAATCTTTTGAAGTATATGAAAGGCACTTCTAAATTATGCAACTATGAATACTTTTTAATTAAAGGAGTTAATGAATATTCCACAGGAAAGAGCTGGCTTCCACAGTCTTGAGTTAATTGCCCACCCACACCTGATGGTTAATTTCTTTCTGAAATGTTTTTTTATTTTTTTTTTGTAGATAAAGCCTATCATTTACCACATCCCACATGGGTATAGATTAGTTGTCTCTCTGCACATGCTCCAAGCTTACCTCATTTTGCTTAAGGCAGGATATTAGCTGTGCATTCACTTTACTCTTTTCTGGGATGATGTGATTTTTATTGCCCTAGTTGATTTACTTAGAAGCTTAGAACACAAGGTTATATCCATAAAATCAGCACAATTGCAGAACCTAGAGGATACTGTGTAAAAGGAAGAATTCACTTATTTTTAAGAAGATTTCAGAAATGTCCACTGTATTTTAATTTTCATTTGAGTGAATTGGTGGCTTAATCATTGAGATGTCTTTTTGCCTTTTTTATTTAGAAAAGACATCATGAATGGCTTCTTTTAAAATAGCAAAAACTTATCCACAACTATATGGCATGAGTCTTTTGTTTTGCTTTATTTTATTTTGTTTTTGTTTTGGATGGCTTGAAAAATATACACATATTTTGATCAAAAGAATTGCAGGGGTTGGGGTTGTAGCTCAGTGACAAAGCACTTGCTTAGAATGTGTGAGGCACTGGGTTTGATCCTGAGCACCACATAAAAATAAACAAATAAAATAAAGGCATTCTGTCCATCTACAGCTACAAAAGGAAAAAAGAAAAAAATGCAGAGAAGAAACTCAGATATAAAAATAAAAGACAAAGAAAGTAATGGCATGAACACACTCTGAGACAATGGAAGAGAAAATTTTATATCACTACTGATAAAGCCCAAACATTTACATGGTTCATAATCCATCACCACTTAAATTATGAAATAATTATAAGAAAAGAGAGAATGACAAGTACAATTTAGAAGTGAAATAAATGTGATAAGATAGAAAGAAAAAAACTTGTTTTAAAAAATATTTTCAATATCTTTTTATCAACAATAGCAAAACAAAAGACTCATGCCATATAGTTGTGGATAAGTATTTGCTATTTTAGATACAGTTATCAATCTCTCTTGATAAATACACAGATTTTTTTCACTGTAGTATTTTTAATGTTCAGAGTGACAAATTTTTGGTCAACTAGTAATGGTTTTCCAAAATGCTGAGTTGATAAATACTTAGGTCTTATTTGACCTTAGTGGAAAAAGTAAACTGAAAAATCCTATCTGCCCTGCTATGGAATGGGATGATAGAACTCATGCCACAGGGGTATAAGCAACAATATTTGTAGTTTCTTTTAATAAAATGTATTGACTTTAAAAAAATCAAATATGACTTATATTGTTTCAATTACAGTTTATTTTTACTAACCCTCTCTTGTAAATATTATAATTATGGTTTCTAGTAAACAAGGAATATCACATTAGAAAAATTTGTTATTCACTAATTTTTATTTTTTAGGTCTAATTATTAAAGCTATTTTCCTTTAAAGGAATTTTTGGACAAAGAATTTTAGATTGTACCTTATTTTGAAATATGTACTATTTGATGTCATTTGGTCAGAACATATTATAAAAAGTAGAAGATAGAAGGACTAATTTTGATATCAAATTGTGTCATTATTGTCAATTTAAGATCTTTTGTCACATATTTCAGTGGTCTAAGCCATTTATTTAATCAAGGCTATATATTTTTTTAACTGGTGATTTTTTTTTATTAATGTTTAACAAGCATGCCCACCTCCAAGCATTGGTGTGCTGGAACATCTTTAACAAGCCAATTTTTGGAGTGGGGGACATGGGTGGTGCTGCACAGAAGCACTTATCTGTAACATTTGCCAACATTCCTACGATGAAAATATCTACATAATCACTAATGTCAAGCCACCAATATGTTCTCATTGAACATGGAGTAGGGAAGATGTGTACGTGATTGGCATGAGCAAAGAAACCATATAAATTTCATTTTTAAAATGAGCATCTTCAAAAAAGATCTACATCAAAAACCTACAGATACTTACCCGATGTTTAACTGAGAGGTTTTTATACCCTCAAAATTTAATGAAATGTTTCTAAATTGCATAAAAATGTACTTATAACCCGACCAACACTCCACTGTTGAGTATTCTTTTCTTAGAGCAAGTATTTTGCTTTTTTTGTGACATCTCAGTTTTTTTTTTCCTGTCTGATAATGAGCAGGCCACATTATACCCAAGAGTATCAACAGGTCCCTGCAATAACAGAGGTAAGTCCTGTGTTTATTGAGACAAATGGTGAAGGCTAACAATGCCACCACATAGCGGTCGGTGGATAAGCTAAGTTGTAGTGACTTTCAATTTTGTTTGAGGTTCTAATTTATCATTTTAGACCAACAGAAGCATAGCCTGAACCTGTAGTAACTGCTTAGCCCCTTCTTGCAGGAAAAACAGGGCAACAGAAGGCACAACTTCAATGCCTGGCCCAGAGTCTCCCCTCAGTACATGCTGGTTGAATGGGAGCAGGAGGAGTCTGAGATCTGAAGCTGTCATTAGTGTTTAATTAAAGCTGTCCATATGGTTGGGATGCTTACATCTCTGCATCATTTCCTTGAAGGCTGCTTTTCACATGAAGCCTTCCCCAATCACTCCAGTGAGACTTCTCCTTTTGTAAATTCTCATTCTTTTTCGTTTTATCGTTTTTAATCATATGTCACTTCTGAACCAATCCTATCCTTGTCACTCAAGGATATTATAAGTTCCTTAAAGAAAGTAGGATCTCACTCATATTTGTTAGTACCCACTGTATTTTAAAAATGTCCTCAACATACTATATACTTTGTAGTTACTGATCAATTAATAAATACAAATACACATCCAAAGGTGAAATTTCAAAACAAATCACATACCTGAATACCACCTTTCAAATATGTTGAAATTTGCTTTGTATCATTTCTCCTTCTTCTAACAGTTACTGCCATATAAAAATTTTCATGTCTCTTTTATATTTTCTGTTCATCTGTTTTTCTCTCTAAGCAGTAGTTTTGTTTAAAACATTTTTCCCCTCGTATTTTTCTACAAATCAAGAAACAATCATATTCATATTTTTCTAGGGAAAAACCTTGAGAATTTTTACTGGCAAAATTATTCTAATTAAGAATTAATTTTTCAGAGAATTTCATGATAATTATGAATTGGAATTTATCTCATAAACGTTGGCTGTTAATGCTGGGAATACATGAAGCCTACATGGTCTTCTCTGAGAGCTATGATACGTTTAGAGGGACCCCCAAGTAGGACTTGTCACCATTTAGAAATACCATCTCACATGAGGAAGCTGTGGCCTTGAGAATGTCAATCAAAAAAGACGTCATAAACTCCCAAGTAGCATCTTTTGTTTCTTTCCTATCTAGTACATTCAGGGGCAAATTTAGGCAGTTTTACTGTGAAAATAAAGCTTAATTTTCAGGGTCTGTCATACAGGTCCCTTTAAAATTTGTGGGACAAGCCGCAGAAATGGATCTTGACTTAAAGTGTGAATCCCAGATTGTGTAAACCTCAAGCATCACAAAACAGGGCTGTTCCCCTGGGCACACCCATCAAGGAAACTTGTGATATCATGGAAAGCATATCCTTAGAGGCCTCTGTTCTATCCTTGTTTAGTTCTAACTTGTTAGATATCTTTTCAAAATCATTTAAACTTGCCTACCCCATTTGTCTATCTGTGAAATGATACTGGTAATTAAACTACCCTGCCTTCTTCTCTTGAGTTATGTGATAATTATCTTAAATAACATCCTAACAATAAAATATCCAAGTTCAGAAATAATTAGTAATTAACTGAAAATGTAAAAATGAAGAGGCGTTTGGAATTATTATTTTTAAACAAGAGGTCACTATTGTCTTGACACCATTCAATGAAGTCAGCAGCAAAAACGTCTGTGAATATTCCCTAACTGAAGTCTCTGTTTTCTTCCTACAGAGGAAACTTCACAGTCAAGCTCTCACGACAAGTCAGCCTTAATCCTGGATTGCAGTGGCTTAACCTTTTTTGACTATTCTGGTGTCTCCATGCTGGTTGAGGTATTTACAGTCTGTGTCTGGATTGATTCCTTCCCTTCTCTTTAGTAACAGGGCCTTTTTAAAAATTATTGGTGCATATTAATTATACAGAATGGTAGGTTTCACCGTGGCATATACATACATATAACATATTTGAGTAACAGGATTTTTCATCAGCCATTCTCTCAGCTCCGTAGTCTGATATTCCTTCCCTTGAAGGGACATAAGACCTTGTACTTCACACCACTGTAGATTTGCTTTTAGGAGATCCCATTAAGCTTTTAGGTATGTACATGTGTGAGGATCAGAGATGGAGTATTTACTGGGTAGGTATAAAACATAGCCTTGAGATGTGGTGGGCATAGCATCTATAGCAGTTGGTGTGCAAGGTTTCCAAAAGAGTAAAAGTCCCCTACAGGACGCCGACTGCATGATCAAATGGCCTTGTTCTCTCACATGGTGGCCCAATACTATTCCTGGCCTCTCAAAAAGTGCCCCACTCAGGGGCTTTTCTCTATTCTCTTTGGCAATGATGCCTCCTCTATGCCATGATTTCCATGGCTTCTCCATGACCCACATGTGCAAAACACAAAGTCCATTGTTGAAAAGCCCCATAACTCACAAAGCTCATTTCCACAGATGGGAGAACACTTAATTTTGTGAATTCAAGGAAATTTAAGACACTTCTGGCATTTGTTTTCTCTTTCTATTTTTGAAAAATAAATAATAAATCAACAAGGAATTCGCCCCCTTCCTTGTTTCCTTCAGTTCTCCCCCTCAATATTCTAAATTGAAGATTGGGGTGGGACAACAGATTGAGGGTGGAAAAACCTCTATTCTCAGTCCTCCACTAGTGTCTGCGCACCAGTGTGGCTGGTCCCCTAGCAATCTTTATCTCCTTCATATCCTTTCTATCCAATCTTCTTATCTTCATATCTCCTGAGCAGCTTAGTATTAACTCAAAGCCTTAATCAAAATAACTGTGAAAGTTTCTAGAAAATTTTCTCTGCACATCTTTTTCCTTTCTATATTCTCTCTACCATCTGCCCTCCCTGAACTCCTGTTCTATCTTCTCAATCCATGTAAGCAGCTCATTTTGCTTGGATCTCTCCAATCAACACCAAAGTGGATTTGGGAATCTGCTTTGTGGCAACAAGCTGAGCTCTGGAGGACTTGCCTCATTTGTCCTGCTGCTTTTAGGAGACTTGGTCCTAAACGACTGGAGGCCGATTGTCTAAATACAGTTGTTTATATGTTGTTGTCCAATTGTCTCCTTATTTGTGGAAGATGGGTTGGTCTCTCATTAGTTACTCATTATGGTTAAAAGTGGAAATCAGACATTAACTTTTTTTGGGGGGGAGGGTACTGGGGGTTGAACTCAGGAGCACTCAGCCACTGAGCCACATCCCCAGCCCAATTTTATGTTTTATTCTATAGACAGGGTCTCACTGAGTTGGTTAGCACCTCGTTTTTGCTTAGGCTGGCATTGAACTCATAATCTTCCTGCCTCAGCCTCCAGAGCCACTGAGATTTCAGGTGTGTGCCACCACGCCCAGCCAGACATTGATTTTTAAAGTATTTGGATTTGTAGCTTTGATATTGTTTTACATTGTGAATTTTGATGGTTTTCTTGTGAGAATGCAAACCTGAGTCTCTATTCATTTGTATTTTAAATTGATTTTGAAATGTTGAACTTTTCAAAGTCAAGGAAGTACAGAGGTAAGCCGTCTTGTCACTTTTCTAGGCAGGGGCATGTGGAGGGAAAGCACTGGCTCTGCCATACACACTGAGGTGTCAATAGTCATGTCCCCTACCTGGATCTCAGTTGATTCCTTTGTAGAAATGAGGCAGTGATTTTGGTTCTGGATTGGGAGATATATCAAGAAAATAAATAATACAAAACAATTGAAATTTAAATACTTCATGTTTTAAATCTATTGGCTACTTTTGGCAAATTACCCTTTTATACTTTTTTTCCTTCTTTTTTTTAACATAAAAGCTTTGTACAGTATACCAAATATTTTGTATTTTCTTGCAACTAAACCTGGATTGCAAACACATAGCCATTCTCCACTGGAAGGCTTTTTATGTTCCGCATTTTTTATTTACTTGTGTTTCCAAGGTCTTCAACTTTTATGCTTCAAGGTAATCTGGATGCTCCTTCGAAATGCATTTGTTTGAGTCCTAGTTCTGGTCTAGAATATTCATTTAAACAACTCTGGGTAATTCTAGGTGGCCAGGGATCATATTTTGAGAAACATGAGACTAGAATTGTTCTTTTACTTGGAAAGGCTGGTATGCATATTTTTTGATCAATTGCATTTTAAATTTGCTTCTGAAATTATTAGCTGCCCTCTCTAGACATTTAAAAACAAGACAGGATTATAAAAGAGGAGGAAGTTGTTACCTCTTCCCATTGAGTTTAGGTTGACAATTCAGAGGAATCCAAACAATCTAAGCACTGGGCATGTTGAAAAAGAACTTGTTTTTTTTTTTTTGTTTTTTCTTTCTCATTTATGGTTTTAAAATTTTATACCACCGAATGGTGAAATAAACCAACAGATGCAATCTATTTATTTAATTGTATTTATTTATTTATTGTGGTACTGGGGACTGGACCCAGGTTATCATTCATGCTAGGCAAGCACTTGACCCATGAGCTTCATCCCCAGCCCAATTTATTTTTAAATTGGCAGAGAATAACATTTGCCCTTGGCTAGGTGTATATATATCTGTATATACAAAGCCGGTGGTTTTATATTAGTATTCCCTTTTTAAAAAATTTCTTATTACTATTTGATTCATTTCCTCATTATTTAAATAACATTATTATATACAATAGACAACTTAACATGGGTAGGATCAAATGTTTGTTTGCATTTCTAGGAACCAGTAGTAGAGGTATCCATTTCATCAAGTTATGAGATTTAGAATGGGTATATTGCATATAAAGCACTTAAGAAGCTGGGTGTGTTGGCCCATGCCTGTAATCCTAGCAACTCAGGAGGCTTATGCAGGAGGACCTCAAGTTATACTCCAGCCTGGACAACTTAGCAAAACCCAGTCTTTAAATAAAAAGTAAAAAGGACTGGGAATATAGTTCAGTGGTAGAGTGTCCCTGGGTTCAATGTCCAATGCCAAAACAAACAAAAAAATCCACCTAATAAAATGTCTGCCAGTTGATAAGTACTCAATAATGTTAGCTTTTCATTTTCTAATTCTAACAAGTCATTTCACAAAGTACAACTAATATCATTCCAACTAATATTATTTCTTAGTTCCAGCTACCCTGGAAGAGAAGCCAGAGAAAAGAGCCACAGGACCTCTTTAGCCAGAGATGTTAACACTCCCTTGGTTAACACTTCTTGGTCACTTTAGCATAAGGAACATTTCCCTGGAAGTTGTAGGTTGAAGGAAGTGGGATGACTTCTATTTACTCTTTTACTTGGGACACTAGAGAGGTCAGTGAACTGGAGATTATGTTTATCAGCATCAACAAACCACCCATAGCAATGTGTTTGTGCTCCACTGAGCTGAAGAAAAAGTCAAACACTGAGAGGTCACCTTGAATTAATTATTTTAACACAAGCAGGAGCCAATTATTCAATGTCAAAGTCTCAGTCCATATTTTATTTTCTTTTATGTTTTGTTTGATCATTTTTCCCCAAGTGATATAAATATTATTTCACAATTAGTCTTTCATAGAGAAAATTATTTGCTGCTGAAAGAATCTGAGGGACCTTTGGGATGTATTATATATACCCTTAGACTGTATTGCAAATGTAGATTTCTACACTTTTCATGAAAGATATATAACAATTATATAACCAAATTTATCCTCCTGAAACTAAAATGTCTAGATTTCCTGTCATTGAATTTCATGGTTGATTTTGTTCTGGATGAATTTAAGATCAGATATTTTCACAAATTGTGTCTTCTTGAGATGTTTTTGGAACTTCAGTGGCAAGACGATAAAGTAGGCCAAGGAAATTAGTAAGGCTTTCTCATCTTGATAGACCTTTAAACATGGAAGTCCAGTTGGGTCCAAGGTCCATGTGTGTAATCTGAGAGTGGGAAGCCTGAACCAGAAGAATTGAAAGTTCCAGGCCAGCCTCAGCAAATAAGTTAGGTCCTAAAAAGATTAGTGAGCTATCTTAAAATAAAAACAAAAAGAACTGGAGATATAGCTCAATAGTAAAACGTCCCTGGGTTCAAATTCAATGCCAAAAAAAAAAAAGAAAGTTGGAAAACCAAAATTGTGTGAATCATAGTAATATTCTCAATTTTTCATCCATGGGTAGAATTTATCCAGTCCATAGATATGCTAAATTATTGTAAAATATTAAAATATGCAGCAGGTCAGCAGGTTAATTTCACAAATGGGTTCTTGACGTACAATAAAAGTGGTTGAGAACAGTTTTATATCATTCTTACAGGAAAGGAAAGGTGATGTTTTGATTTTTATTGAATCAAGTTGAAAACGTAAGCAGCCAGACTTAATTGTAGTAAAGGTAGATGCCTCACTCATACTAACCTTAGTCTTTTAGATGCTTGCCAGTTTGTGACCGACTATGTAGCCATGTCTCCCTCTGGTGGTTGACTTCATAATTTTTCTTTTTTTTTTTTTTTAAACAAGACACTCTCAATTCCTGTTTTATTCCTTCTTGCTAGCTATTCTGAATTAATTGTGGGTGTATTGTTTTAATTTTTCCAGGTTTACATGGACTGTAAGGACCAGAGTGTGGATGTATTATTAGCCAATTGCACAGGTAAGAGGGTGTCCTTGGCTAACACTGAACATGATCCTTCTATTGCTTCGTGTATCTTGGTATTTCCTTTGCTTTCTTGTAGCTTCCTTGATAAAAGCAATGAAGTACTATGGAAACTTAGACTCGGAGAAACCAATTTTTTTTGAATCAGTATCTGCTGCAATAAGTAACATCTATTCAAATAAGGTAAGTGGATAATACGAGCTTGCAAGAGTTGTAAAAAATATAGAATATAGAATTAAGGCTTTGCATTTTTCTGTGTGTGTGTTAGTTTTTTAACTCATCTAAAATCTATTAAAATCCCTCCAATCTCCACCTCAGAGTATCTGTAACAAAAAGTAATATTTCCATTCATCTTTGGGGGACAGTTATGAATAATTATTTAATAATTTGCATCTTACTACAATGTCACTACTTAGAGGATTTGGCCTTACCTGTCAATTGCAAACTGTTTGCTTTAATGCGTCTTCTGGGATCTATTGTCCTAGAAGTTTGAATCCACCTCTGACAAATATAAAAACTCTAAATATAGCTTTCCAGTTTTTCTGCTCTGATGCTTTCCTCCAAGCTCATTAGATTGCCATCTTTGGGAATATTATTTGCAGATTCTAGTGCTCCCATGATCTAAGGTATGAAAGTTACCTTCCAAATATCGGACTTTATGGCTTAGTTTTAAAACTGTTCCCAGCACTGAGACTTCCTGCACTTTTTCTTTTGAATCATTTTGCCTTCCCTCATCCCTAGAACAGTATTTGGTGCCTAATAGAATCATCTTTATTTTATTTAGTCAGAAGAGTATGTATTTACAAAATAATAATATTTATTATGATGATTATTATCATCATCATCCCCATTATATACCTGACATATATTAAGTGCTTACCATCTTCCGGGTATATTCTAAAGGTTACAATCTATATTGTAAACTTGTCCCAACTTTAGAGGTAGATACTATTATTTAACATTTTTCAAAATGGGGAAACTGAAGGCCAAGGACATTATGCCATTTGTAAGTGGAAGAGCTGGTTTCAGAGTTAGCAGTCCGACCGTGGGTCTGGAGCTGTAAACTTCATACTCTCCTGCCTCATAGAATGTCCATTTTATTAGTGTGTCTAGATAGCTGGCTTCTCTTTCTACTGTTCTTTTACAATGGTACTGATTTAAGAGTTGAATAAGCAGTGTATGTTTATTTCTTCCTCTTCTATTTCAGAACTTCAACAAACTCGGTGACCACAGTGACGTTTGAGCCCCATTTGTTGCAGTATGGATCTTGACTCTAGGAACTTCTCTGAAAAAGCCATGTACTGGCATTTTGCACGTTTTTAAAAAAAATTTTATTGTATCGATCCTGCAGGTGATCTCCACTCCAATAAGTTGATGTGACTTTGTAACTGCATTACGTTGGTCAAGATTTGCCAAAAGATTTTTTTTTTCCTAATCTTTTGTTAGTAAGGAAATTCACTTAGTTATTTTATTAAAAAATCACTATGCATTTAGCTTTAGTTTATAAAGGGTAAACATGATTTTATTTCATTTTATTACAGCATTTTGTGTTGTTTTACTTCTATTTTGCTGTAAGCTTATCTTTAAAACTGAGAAATTTAGAATCCTTAGAAGTCATTTGTAAAAATTCAGATCATCTGTAACTAATACACAAACCAACTTGGTAAATATGCCATTTTCCTGTACCTTCCATCCCCCAAAGCCATTTAAACACCAATAGGAATAAATCTTACTCTGTACAATAGGATATGAAATTCACAGAAATAAAGGAATCAGAAACAGATGACCAAAAAATGACAAATTGAAGTCATCGATCTCTATATCCTTCAATGCACTCACTCCTGAAGTATTCAAGAATGTTTTCATATTTGGAAGAAAACTGGTATCCAAATAAAATCAAGTTCTTGACATTGGTCTGTTTTTGCTTTGAGTATTGGAAATGCTTAGAATCTTCACACAAAATGCTCCAAATTCCACATTCCCACCCTACAAGAAGCTCTGTTTTCTGTTTTAGTTTTATTTGAGCTAGGGAATGTGGAAGTACATTATATCTTTTCTTCACAAATATGATGTTTAGGTGAGAAAATGCCACCAGTAGAATTGCCATGTGCTCCTCCACTGTAAGATTAACTGTTGTAGTTTTGACTTAGTTTAGAGAGACAGTCAATAAAATATATTTATCTATTCATATCCAGATAGATAGGTAGATGAATGGGGTCTACATAGAATGTTTTTTCCTTTTGTTAGATAAGAGCTTGGATATGATTATATATAGACTTACCAAACCAACCAGAAAACTGGCAAATACTAATGGCCAGGCTGAACAGGATAAACTAATGTTTTCATGCATGTGTATATATTGTGTGCAAGCACATAATTTCACATTTTTCTCTAACAAACTGATCTATCTAGGAAGAAATCTCATTTTCAAAATAGGCATAGATATACAATTATGATTTAGTCTTAATGGTGTTTTAACTATTCTAGAAACTACCAGTGTAAGAAAAAGCCAGGTATTTCACAAGTCTGACAAGCAGGTTGAAATAAAATGAAGACTGTCATGTATGTTCTTTCATGGGCTCTGTAAGAGTCAATCCCAGCTCCTGTCAACTGGTTTGTAATGATCTCTAACAAATGTATGGTAAATATTCAGATGATCCTTAATTTTAACATTAACTCTCAGGTAGGGTAACATAATAAAATGAAAGAATAATCAATGTTTTAATTCTCATATGTATCCAAGCCATTTTAATTTTTATTGAATGAACTATAAAGAATAATCTTGGTCCCCCAAATAGACACAATCCTTTTGTTACTAGTTTTGATTGAAATAAACAAGGGTAACTTATATTCCCATCAAACACTGTTCCAGAGAAAGGTGGAGGCAGTAATTGGAGGTAAAATGTTCTTATTGAAAGGATTTTCACTCTGCTTTATCCAATTAAATAATTCCCATGGTTTGGTAGTAATATTCACCATTTCTAACCCACTGGTCACTAGCAGATAAACATGAGTCAAGGAAAGTCAAGAAAAGAAAATACATTTGACTGCATATAAATTGATATTTCACTATGCAACTTTAGCCTATAGTTGAATTCATGCACTAGAAGCATTTTCTAATTTGTTAGAGATTATGGACCATGGATGACATTAAAATAATTATGTTAATCAATGAATAGTTGTTCCATCTTATTGTTAATGCTGACACCGTATTGTCTGAACAACTGCATTTGAATGCATTTCAATGTTTATAGTAGAAGTTTAATGGATAAAACTTTAAAGTCAGTATCTTGGGTATCAAATTCAAAGAAAAGGAAGACCAGACCATGAACTGCATGAAGTCCTTTACCCTAAGGTTTATCCCTCACACCAAGGACCCGATAGCTGATAACCTGGAGAAAGTCCCTTAAATTAAGGTCTCAGAGTCCAAAAGCTGAACATGAGTTTTAGACACATGAGAATTCTAAAGCATAAATGTCTATTTAAAAGCAGGAATTGACAACACAAGAACTGTAATATGGTCCCAATGCTAGATTGTTTCTGAATCACACTGAATTACTTTTATGGGATCATCTTATTTTTATATATGATAAACTACTTCCATATTACTTATTATGGTACAGTAAAATTGGAAAAAATTAAAATTGACCTATAAAAGTGTTAAGGACCTAGTATAGTGACATATATAAATTAAGTATAAAATATATAACCAGGAAAAGACTGTTAACATTACATTTATGCAAATTAAATGCCCTTAAATTTTTCCATTTGTCTTTCATTTTAAAGGTTATTTGCCCCGATTATATAATTCAAGTGTTATAAGGTTTAGCTTAAACTACTTTGTAGTAATTTATTTGACAGATCTCTATTCTATAAATGCATAATGTAATGAGAAAAGAGATCTTTCTTTTTTAATGAAAACATTAATCTGATAATACTCCACATGAATAATGCTTGACATTTAGTGGTACCAAAATATGTTGGTGTGTTGTTGAACATAGATTCGCCTTAGAAATGCACATTCTGTATTCTGTGAGATGATAATCTAATTCAATATAGAACATGCTTTTTGGCAGTGAGTTTGTTGCGAGATTTCAAATAGGGAGTTAAGTGGTGCTTTCATAATCCAAAGATTTTTAGTTAAAAATCACGTAGGCTAATATGCTGCACTTATTTTTTTATATTTTCCAATGCATTTAATTATCTTTTTTTATAATTCTTTGTACTAACTCAGCATGTAACAACCAATTTACATGGAAATAAATTGAAATATGATAACTATTATGCTTAAATGGATTTGTGTCCATTATTTCACAGTATTTACTCTCCCGCAAAGCAAATAATACATATTACTTTCTTGGACTGACCACAGTGTAATATGTGTTACAAATTCCTGCAAGCACTCATTTTTCCTAGTAATTTGTTCTTATGAAATTTAAAAACTGATTTTTAGACTGCTGATAAAGATACGTTTTGCTACAAGGGTACATTTATACAATCCTCTTTTACCGGGTTTGCATTCTTTTTCTTCTAATTTTAGTTAATGTGTAAATTTTTATTTTTTTTACTTGTACTCTTTGGGTTCATTATATTCTGTTGTCTGTCTTTCCTAAGTTTCTAGGATAAGTTCAATCTTCCTCAGCATGTTAAAGATTGCTGTTCCAATGTCAAGATGATAAGGCAGTATTCAGGTGTTGGAGATACAAAAGTGAATAAAACAAGAAATTCTTTGCCTTCATGTAGCTTATGTTGTAACCAGGGAAGACAAAAATAATCAAGATAAATTTAAATACATTTATTGAAATTTAGATGATAATATGCATGAAGAAGATGAATAAATTGAGCAAAGTATGATGATGTGGGGAGTTGCATCCCTGGATAGGGTGGCAGGAAGATTACTAATGGTAGGTTCTTAGCTTAGGCTGCTAACACAAAATACCAGTCTAGGTGGCTTAAATATGCAGAAAAGTATTTCTCATAGTTCTAGAGGATGGGAAGTCCAAGATGAAAGTGCTGACCAATCTGGTCTCTGGCAAGGGCTTTCTTTGTGGCTGGTAGTTGGCACACTCTTACTTTGTTCTCAAATGGGGTGAGAGAGAACTTCTTTATCTTATAAGGACACTAGTCTTCGATGAATGGGACCCAACCTAATGACCTCATTTAAAAGTTAACCTTCTTGTAGATTCTACCTTCAAATATAGTCACATTGAGTGAGGGCATATAATTCAGTTCATCGCAGTCTGTTCCTGGCTGTCCCAAAATTCATGTCCTTATCACATGCAAAAATACATTCATCACATTCCACAATTCCAAAAGGTCTTAACTTGGTTCAACATCAACTCTGAAGTCTAACATCCAAAATATCATCTAAATCTCACATACGTCATATATGGGTGAGAACACAGGCATTTTCTAGGCAAAATTTCTCTTCATCTGTGAACCTGTGAAACCAGACAAGCAATCAAGCAATGTACCGCCAAAATACAATGGCAGGGCAGGCAAAGGAAAAGTGTTCCCATTCCATAAGTTGGTACAAGAAAAGACAGGAGTGAGGGTCCCAATGAAGTCTAAAACCTAGCAGATTCCATTAGATCCACTGAATTTTTTTAATGTTCTAAAACAAAAATTTAATGCGTTTCCACTTATTAAAATTGATTCTTTCTAGTTATACCTAACAATTGAATCCTTTTTGACATAATTATACAAGAATGGAATATATCTTGTTCTAATTCAGACCCCAGTATTTATCCTTTCCCTACCATCCTCACACACCCTGCTTCCTTCCCTTTATTGCTCTTTCTGCCATTTACCCAATGTCATTATTATTTTTAAATTAATTTGTGGATGTACACGATGGTAAGATTCACTGTGGTGTATTCATATATGTACATAGAAAAGTTATGTCAGATTCATTAAATCTTAAGGCTTAAAGATAATCTTCTTTGCTTGGATGTTGCCCCACCTTTTGGACCCACAGGTGTTACAGTCCTGGTTCAAGGCTCCACTGGGTGGTTTCACCTCCATGGGTCTGCAGGATGGTCCTATCCCAAAGCTTTGGTTGGAAGCTGTCTGGCCTAATAAAGCTGGGGTCATGTCCCCTCTTTCTGAAACTGATGAGGCAGTGTTTTTGGGGGGGCATGGAGAGGGTGGGGGTATTAGAGATTGAACTCAGGGTTACTCAACTACTGAGCCATGTCCCCAGCCCTATTTGTATTTTATTTAGAGACAGGGTCTCATTGAGTT